ATATAAATTCGACCACCATGACCTAGATTTTGATGCGTACTTTAATTCTAGACAAGAATTTTGCATTTCTATAAAGCCAATTAAAAGAAATTCTATATCTGTCCTTGTATAGACAATGATGATAGACAAGGATAGACATGGTTATAGGTTATAATTTCTCCGAAGCTCTCATTTTTATTCCAGGCTTTCAATCTCAATTTCAAAGGTACGTTATTGTTTGTGCACGTCTTCTGAAGGGTGGGAACATTTCATTTCGTACATATTACTTATACAACTGTTTATATTAGAAAATGAGGTAACAACATTTTTAATTTTTTTCAATTATTACTAATTATTTTACATTCCCTTCATTAGTACCTATACTTTACTCCTGTAAAAGGATTTTGCGATCTATAAAGCCGTTTCAAAATTAGACCTTTGACTGTAATTGTCGGTAATTGAGTCACTTTAGCATCCCCTTAAAGATATCTTCAAAACGTCTTATGTCCTGATTTTGGACATAGTGCTGTGTCTGGGATATTGATTATTAAGATTATTATTTCGATGTCAATTGCATAAATTAAAATGTTTTTTAATATATATAACTCAATGAACAAGGAACGTTGTAAAATCTCAGTGCATTCTATGCATATGATTCTATTTATTAACACCTTCTATTAATTTCTTGCTATCCCAGGCGGTCATAGTGTCGACAATGATCAGTTTTGGACCCTTTATTAAAGTGCAACTGCAATCCGCGTGCATATTCCCGTCGTCCAATTTCCGAGAGAATCCGTCGAACAGGATAATGACTTCACACATTTTCGTGGATAATAATTGTTCGCCGCGAGCCTTATAGAGAGAAGAATGAAAGGGGAAAAAGAGTCAGTCACAGACGATTATATCCATACACTATAGACACGGGTCGTAACATTTTTGCAACATGGTTATGTGACGACCTAACCTTAAAAAGTCTTAGGCTTAACAGCTCGTCGCCCTTTCGTAATGTCGATTATAACGATTTTCATCATCGTATTCTAGTTTTACGCAGCGAAATAAGCGCGTGGACAAATTGATTTGTTGACAGTCGGCGATAGTAAAGGCGAGAGCATGGTCCACGTGGTCTCGTCTCGGGACAATTTAAAATTGAAATACGAGTAAAAAGGAGAAGAAGAGAAGGAAAAGGAAGAAAGCCACTAAAAACTGGAAAGTACGAGCTTGAGATTCAGCTTATTTGAGAAATTCAGTTTTTATCGCAAGAAAGAAGTCAATCGAGACGGGTATTCTCATGTGGAACCAGTAGAACTTGTGAACAAAGGACTCGGGATGAGGCTGGTAATTATAGACTACGATTACACGGCGGCTTATAATCCGGTTTTATAATTACCGTATACTAATCAATCACAAAATTTTTCTTCTTATCATAATGATCATTTAAGGTATTCCTTTCACAGAGGAGCGTATTTTGTAGGCGCTTAAGCAGGGCCTCAGCAAACTCTTGTATATTGCATTAAACTTATATAAAATCAAGTTATAATTGATTATTATGTTTAATTATAAGAAAAAAGTGAAAATATTATGTGTATTTAGAAATTTTTTATTTTTTGGTAAATTTTACTGTCAGAACAATATGGCAACGCTGCGCTTTTCAGGGCGCCGATTGTAAGATGTGAAGTTGATAACAAAAGTGTCAATGTAAGTGTCAATTTCATTAATCAAAGAATATTGTGACATTTTCTTTTTATGAAAGAGAGATTTTATAATGATAATGAGTGATAAGAAACATAAAGTGAGGAGTAATGTGGGCAAAAATAAGCGACAATTTGTGAAAATAAAAGTTGATAATAAACCGTACGTGATGAACTGAAGTGTGACATGAGCGTACAGCTTGCAGCGTTGCCAAATAATTCCTTGAAAGTCGCCATTAAAAATATTCATCTATAAACCACATTTTAAGTCAACCTTTAACATAAATATTTTGTTTAAATATTCGGTGATTCTGTATTTTTATCGGCACTATCGAAAGTATAGAGTTTAGCGAATATGTAGCGCAGTTAATATTTAATATCTTAAAATATTTGATAAACAAATTATTACATTGAAATGTGGAAAATAGACTTTTTCGATAACGTCACATATAAAATATCGAATTTTCAAAGTCATAATTCTTCTTTATATGTTCGGTAATGTGGTTTAATTTTTTTTTGGCGTAAAGATATGCATTTTAACTTTCTCGTACCAAAAAATCAGTTAATTCTTAAGACTTTGGTGTCATGAAAGGAATACCTTAAATATAAGCCTACTTTATATTTTAAACATTTTAATCAATCTTTTTTGATATATTATTTAAATGATCATTATGATCAAAAAAAGCAAACAAAACATTTTTGATTGGATCGTATATGGTAGTTATTAAACTGGATTATAAACAGTAATAATCGCTTGTAAACAGTTGTGTAAACAGTAATAATCGCTTTAATTAAAAGCCATCATAGTAGATAGATTTACAGCTGCTTTTTATTTGTAGCTTGGAAATATGTAAGTACAAGTCTTGAATGCAGAAGTTTCCTTTTTGCATTAGGAAAAATTAGAGACATTTGATAAAGAAAGAAAACTAGGATTGTTAGATGAATGATAATATTAGATTAATATTCAGCACCTAAAAATTACTATATTATTTATAAAATTAATTTACAGTTTTATATTTTTAGTACAATGAAGGGCTACTAGACAAATGATATTATTTAGTTATTAAAATTGATACATTGTTTACAAAAATTAATCGACGACTTTGTACTTTTAGTATTGTTTGTCCAGCGAACCAACAAAGCCATGCTTGGTTCTAACTTTCAAAGGAACCACGCTGATGTTGGACTGTGGCTTGAATATGCAATCCATCTTGCATTTCATGCCTTTGCCCATGGTTCCCAGCAGCAAGTTTAATTCCTTGCCGACATGGCTGCCACGCAATGACAATCAGCAAGATTGGCAAATCGAGGGTGTTAGTGAGATACATTTAATATATATATATATATATATATATATATAGTTTCTAGTATTAATCTTTAAATTATTTTAAATTATTTTAATTGCAAATGTATTTTTTTATTTCAAGGAGCTGAAAGAATGTTGCGGTAGAGTCTTTGTGGATTCAGTTCCGGAGTTCACTCCCCCTTTGGAGAAAATAATTGATTTCTCAGAGATTGATGCCATTTTGATATCTAACTACACATGCATGCTTGCGTTACCGTTCATAACAGAGGGCACAGGTTTTAAAGGTAAATGTGCAAAATTATATATACAAGATGCTGGATTTAATCTGTCCATGCCGATATCTCAGAAACTATCAAAGTTAGACGAAAAATCAAAAAAGATCCTTCAATAGGATTACTTTGAGATGATTTTTAGCACAATAGAACCGTACCCTTCCTACTGGATTTTGAGGGAGAAAGGAGGGTCAAATTTTTCAAATAAGTGGTATTACCTAACTTACAAAAATAATACCAATTGATAGGGCTTAAAAAGACGACTACAATGACTTATAATTTTATATGTTTATCGTGAAAATTACGACCACATTGAATTTTTAAAAATAGTCTACGAATGGTATCGATCATCAATAGTTGGGATACTATCGCAAATGCATATTCTTGAGATCAAATCAAGTAAAAAAAGTTCTGTACCACTTTTTGTTCTTAACAAACAATTATTGAGATATCGTAAGCTAAATATCGAAAAAGTTACCAAGTTTTCCTTGAATATCTCAAAGAATATCAAGTAAATAGAAAAATATTCCAGACAAAAGTTGTTCAAATTAATTAGTAGAAAAAGATGGTACAATAAAAAATGGGGTTTCCATTTAAAAAATTTAACTTGGGTTCTATTGAGCCCAACACAGGCCCCAGACCCAAAATCTAATAAAATCGGCTAATCTATTGACCCCTTTTGAATCTTGTAATCCTATACTTTTACCTGATACATTTTTTGCTGAAATGTGTCGGTCAAGAGATATTTGAGGTTGTCATTTAAAATGAGACACCCCGTATATATAATTATAATCATGAATCAAGTATATATTAATCTTAAAAATGTAATGATTTAAAGGTATAATATATGCCACCGAACCGACGTTGCAAATTGGACGGTTTTTCATGGAGGAACTTGTAGAATTCATTGAGCGGACTCCAAAAGCAACAATGGCCAGACATTGGAAGGACATGTTACATACTTTGCCATCCCCATTGGCGGAGGTTGTTAAACCAAAATCCTGGAAGCACATTTATTCCATGTCGGCCGTGAACTCGGCGCTATCAAACATTCAAATGGTTGGATATGATCAAAAGCTAGTAAGTTACCACACGCAACTAGAAATATTCAGTATGCTTTAAGCTCAGACACACATATTCAGAGAAATTATTTTTAATAAACTAGAGATTTCTTTGTATCAATTGTTTCACAAATAACAATTAAAATTGCTTGCAGGATATATATGGCGCTCTAACAGTCACACCAATCAGTTCGGGTTTTTGCTTAGGTAGTAGCAATTGGTTGATATCTAGCGACCATGAAAAGGTTGCTTTTGTCAGCGGTTCGTCTACGCTCACTACTCATCCGAAGCCCATGGATCAAGTCACGTTAAAGCATGCCAATCTATTAATTTTGACGGGATTAACACAAACTCCAACTGCTAATCCAGACACAATGCTTGGAGAATTGTGCATGACTGTTGGTAAGTATAATCTTAATATCCGGTAAATTTTGCTTACATCTGGCAAAGAGATAATCTCTCGATACTTTGGTATCAAAATCAAAATGTGTTTCTTAAACAAACGATAAAAAACATATAATTTTATCTTTCTTGCAAGGTTCTTTTTGACAAAAAAATCTTTGTTGCATTATGATTTATTGGATCTTTATCGCTAGTTATATTTTTAAACAAAAATACACTTAAGGTAATGTTTCATCTCACTGCGTAAAAATCTTATAGCTGTGACTCTTAGAGCTGGTGGATGCGTCTTGATACCTTGCTATCCTTCCGGCGTTGTGTATGATTTATTTGAATGTCTGAGCACTCATCTGGACAAGTCAGGCTTCACGCAAGTGCCTTTATTTTTCATCTCACCGGTGGCAGAAACATCTTTGGCTTATTCGAATATTCTTGCCGAATGGTACGGTCGATGAAGCGATTCTAAAATATTCTTGATGTACATTCTATTATTTTGTTTTTATCCCATTTACTGTCATCCTTTACTTCTAGGCTGTCGACAAGTAAGCAAAACAAAGTTTATCTTCCAGAGGAACCGTTTCCACACGCTTTCCTCGTGAAGAATGCACGATTGAAGCACTATACGTCTACGTACGCCGAAGGATTCAGCAATGACTATCGACAGCCTTGTGTCGTCTTCTGCGGCCATCCCAGTCTCCGATTTGGCGATGCCGTGCATTTCGTGCAGTTATGGGGCAATAATCCTTTGCATACCGTAATTTTTACAGGTACCTATACATAATTCCATTTAAAGAGCAATGCAATAGGGCGGCAGTGTGGTCTAGTGGTAGAGCGCCAGACTCGTAATCTGAGGAACCAGGTTCGAGTCCACTAGAGCCATGAAGCATGGAATGTTTTTCCGATAGCTGCGTTCCTCCGTGCAAGATAGGCTCTTGTGCGGAGAAAACTGGTCTCCGTCTTTCGGAAAGAGACGTTAAGCCGTTGGTCCAAAGGGTTAAAGTAAGAGGAGAAGGGTAGTATTGGTAGTAGATTGCGAACTCTGCAGGGATATGCAATAAATTACGAATTTTACAAGAGCAATGCAATAATTTTTTATGTTTGCAACTCTATATTTTATAAAAGTCAATCCAAAAAGTAAGACAAATATTAATTAGGTAATAAAAAAGCATGTGTAAAATGTGTAATATCGATTATATATATATATATATATATATATATATATATATATATATGTATATATAAAGTTTTAAATATCTTTCTCTAATATTCCTACAATTACTACAAGTTGTATTGCATTATTTTCTGAAAATCTCTTATGTATATCCGTTTATTGTATCATGTATGATTGCACACATTTTATTTATGTAACATGATTAACATTCTTTTATCGCATTTGATTTTGTAGAGCCTGATTTTCCGTATTTGGAGGCCTTGGCTCCCTTTCAACCATTGTCTATGAAAGCAGTGCATTGTCCCATTGATACGTCTCTGAATTTTACTCAGGCTAATAAACTTATTCGAGACTTAAAGCCAGACCATCTAGTTATTCCAGAGGTTTATACGCAGCCTCCTGCAATGGCACAGCATAGAACAGATCTTGTCATCGAATCCATCGGGGTTGGTATCTGTTTTCTCCGTTACTTAACGTACCAAGTCAATTTTACAATTTACGTTTACAATCTCTATTTTGCATTCTCTCTTTACTATATATATAGTGTTACTATATAAATATTTTAAAAAAATGTCCTATAAAATTACTTGCATAATCTCTTTGTTCAAGGAAAAACCCTTGATTACGTTCAAACGCGGAGAGGTGATAAAATTGCCATTAAAGCGGAAGAAGGGCCGCGTGTTTATCAAGCCGGAATTAGCTAGCAGTATTATACCGAGTGAAGTGCGACCTGGCTTGAGTCTCGCATCTGTTACCGGCGAGCTTGAGGTCAAGGACAACGTATATACTATAAAAGTAATTACTAATATGTATATGTATATATATGTATGTATGTATGTATGTATGTATGTATGTATGTATGTATATATATATACACAAGGTGAATTTTAATGGATGTCCCATCCTTTTACCATCAATACTTCATCGAGCATCCTTTTTTTGATAAAGAGCACTTCACTTATATAGAATATGTTAAACTTTACGTCTTCGTTACAAAATGGAAAATTTTTTTATATATATAAAAAGAAAATTGAGACAAATTGGCAGATGACAATTGTGAATGGGACATCCATTAAAATTCACCCTGTATATATATATATATATATATATAGTAGATAAATGAATTTTATGGTCAAGATAAATATTGCAGCTTACTCTTTTTTATAGAATATGGGTCTGTTTCTTTTAGCTGCACTGGCTGAACTGGTGCACACTAGTGCAGTAAGTTGGAGTGAATTGTAATATACTTGTCTCACTCCAACTTATTGCACCAGTTCAGCCCAGCTCAGTCAGTGCAGCTAAAAGAAACTTGCCATATATCTTCACTGAAAAAAAGAGATTCATTGGAAAGAAAAAAAAACGCAGTATATTATTCATTTATATATTTTGTTTCTAAATATGTAAAATTTATAGAATGTTGAGGACAAACCGAGCGGAAAGAGGAAAATGTCGTTGGGTTCGCCTGCGCCCATCATGGAGGAAGTGTTGAAGGAGCGAAAACACGAGTACGGGAATCTGGATCCACAAGAATTGCTACAAAAGCTCAATCAGGAAGGCTTTCATGGGGCCAAATTACAGCACAGTCCTACCTCTACGGATATTCATTTGGTACGGTTTAATGTCTCATTGATGGCTCTTTCACACAGAAAATAATTGTTCAATAATTATATAAACACAATCGATATAATTAAGAATTCTCTGTTTAAAGTTATACATTTATGTGTCTACTTGCAGCAAGACGAGGACACTCTGATTCAAATTGGAGATAATTCTACGCACATTTTCTGCAACGGTGATCAAAAGATCCGTAAACGTCTCAGGAGTATAATAATGCAGTGTCTAAAAAGATTTTGAGGTACAATATACATTTTTGTAGTATTCTGACATTCTGTGAGACAATGTTTTATACTGCTACACTGTATATACATATAATTTATTGTTTTAAAGCGTATGTATATTTATTTGTTCCATCATTCGCTTTTATTCTATGACATTAACTTAACAATAATTTCTAAGTTGATTATAATAGAAGAGATTTTTATCATCTAATTCTGCTAAATAAAGGGCAGTATATCTTTAAGTACTTTAAAACAATCAACACAAAACAACTTTCAGCATTGTTTAGTATACGTTTAGAAATAATGTGATAATTCTTTCATACATATATTTAGCAACATTAGTTAAATTTCAATTCCTATTATTGCTAAATCATTACTGACAAATGATCAAAAGTTGTTAAATTTACAGTGAATATGGTTAAATTATTTTTATTGTAGACAATACATATCAAGATCTGTATGAATGTGACGGAAATATAAACGGCGATTAGCGAATGCAGTATATAAATAAGGAAAAAATATAAATCGCAATTCCTTAGAATAATAATATAATATAAGTAGTGTACAATTATATTATTCTAATGTTTATATCCTAGAATGACTAATCTCTTGCTGCATTCTGAACGAACAAGAAATCTCTATATTGTTTCATATGCACACTATATATATGTATATTTTTTTTTTGGTTCGCACATGTTCTATGCAAATGGTGACAGCAAAATTACCAAGATTCTAAAAATTTTTTTTATAAGAAATATTCCGAACAGAGAACGAATTTACGGGAATATATAATATAAAGTGAATAACATATCGAAGTGATGCCTATAAAATTTCAATAAATTTCGCTAGTATAAATAAATCCATTTTCTTAATCAAATAACGAGAAAACATTAGCGACTTTCATTTGTTTGATGTATTAATTCTAGAGAGGATAGCGATGAGCAAAATTTACTCTACTTGATAATCTTGAAAAATTTATTGTAGATCTACAACCTGTTTTGTTATGTACTCTCAGTTTAGGATCTAAAAAAAGAAAGGAAAAATATTATAAGCAGTTCTGTAGTGTATGAATAGGTTTTACTCATCGTTATCATCAGTGACAAACTAAAAAATAAAGCTATTTATCTAGGATTATTAAGCGTAGTTCGCGCCACCCATTTCTTCAGCACGTTGATCTTGTTCCTTACCTCATCCATGATTGTATTGTTATACTCGTCGACGACGTTGTCGTGCGCGTCGATAACAGTCGAGCAGCTGCCCTTCGACGCGACGTGGATGTCGATCTTTCTCTTGGTTGCATTCAGAGTGCAGCAACTTATTACCTAGTTAGCGGTGGCGACACCGATCGCGACTCCCGCCACAAACGAAACCAGAAAGAAGTGGAATTCCGTTGGCTGGAAGCTATCCTCGCCACCGGTCAACGCATGATACCAACGTCGCGTACGAGTCTCTCCTTGTTTCATCAAATGTTCAGCTTTATCCAGCTTTCTATCGACGTATCTCTCGACCTGGAATGCGATAACTTTCATCAGTGACTTAGCGTTACGTTGGAGCGGAATTAGTAAAATCCTTGTACACCACGATTAATTTTATTATACATTTTTATTCAGTGGACTATATACAAAAATTATAATAATTTCGATATTATAAAGTTTCTTTGACATTAAAATTAATATTGATATCAATTTTTATTGGTTAATATTGATATTAAAATTTTAATAATATTGATATATATTATATTTATTATATTTAATAGGGATACTGTAAACGCAACGGTAATATAAATGATGACAACATACTAAATGTTCACATTTACGCACAAAACTTGAAAGTTATTGCTCTTTACTTCACCAAGATAGACCGATAATGAAACCGCCAAGAAAACTTGTGGCAATGAATGAATTCTTCCTCCACAGTTTCCCTACCTGCAAACAGTAAAAACATTATATTTGTAAAAAAAAAAAAGAAAGAAAAACGGGAAGCAAACATGTGCAAAATATTTCCTGTAGATGGTGAGTTATTAAATGGAAATAATTTGTTATGTGTGTTAAAGTTGAAAAAAAATTATACTGATTTAAAATGATCTCTATTGCAGATAATCATCTTATTATCTTTGATATATAATATGTTGTTTTTAGGAAGTTAAAAAATAAGAAGTTTTTAACCTAATTCTTTAACCAAAGTCTCAAGAAATCTCAAGATCTTTTGCAGTGACTTGATATCTGTCTCACCTTATCCATGAAATTTGGCCCTTCGCCGGTAATCCTTTCTTCCACCTTATCCGTTATTTTCTCAGCCTTTCTCATGACCTTATCCCAATTGATATTTATGTAACCCTGATGCGCAGCAATTTGCAGCATGATAATTCCACCGCCAACTGCACAGGCTGCCACTTTTCCAATCTTTATGGTGACGAATCCAGTTACCCTGAGTTACAAACCACGCAGTTAGTATGAAAGATAAACCCAAGTATTAAAGGTTTAAACATTCGAACAATGAACAATCGTGATAATTCCACAAAATATGTACCATCCCGATGTGCTACCAATGATGATCTGTTTGGTCGCTGAAGACTTGCTCACATCACCCATGATTTTCTCTAAGAAGGATTTGGCTTCCTGGGTGGCATCTATACTATAAGCTTCCTTGTTTGCGTCTTCTTTACTCTTCTTGGCTGTAGGCATCTTGGTGCTGCAAAAAAGAATTTTGTGTGATTACACTAAAGGAGTGTTATGAAAAATTGGACACGATTCATGTAACGTCATAATTTTAAAGTCAAATATGGCTTTAAAATTACTTCTATTACACAAATTCCACGCATAAAGTCTCGTATGCGTGTATGACAGAAATGGATACCGACGTAGAAGATTCGACACACCTAAGATGCGAAAAATCGAAAACTATTTAGTTATCAACATCTTTAAACCTTCGGAGTAAAATCACGAAACGATTATTCCGCCAATAATAGACGTGCCATCAACAATTATTTAGCGTACTTATAACAAAGGGATTGCACAAGAAGCTGCAAGTTCCTTTATTGTCGTCACTTGGCGCGGATCTGCGCGACGTAACGAAAACGTAAATATATCGATGACGAAATTCGGGAGAATAATTTGCGGCGATCATTGTTTTCGGAAAATCGGAGAGAGAGAGAAGGAGAACAACGTCGCGGAATATCGACGATATGTGGCCGGAAATTTCTAGTCGGCTGATACTCGACGAATCCCGGGATGAGAGAACCACGTTTCACTGGGACGAGAGTGACAAGACAAAGGAAACTCTACCGTTTGAAGAGTTTCCTCATTCCCGAGCGGAAGACACCTCTGCTCGGCATGATTATCGAGCGTGTTTTTAGGTGTACATACGATGTACGATGAACGCTCTTACAGCTTAGCCGCGCGACATTTTGACGACGTGTGAAACTCACCTATTTGGAGAGAGATTTTCGGAGACAATGGATTTTCGGAAGTAGCGATCGCTATCGAGCGGCCCGGCAGCTCGAACGTAAATTGACGTAAATGACGTTCGATAACTTGGAGGGAGCCAGACGGCTCCCGACTCTCTCGAGGCAGATTTGTTCGTTTATTGCACCTTCTGCACTTTGCTCCTCTCTGTTCCTCTTTTTCTCTTTCTCTCTTGCTCATACCAAAGAGAACTGCTCACACATAAATTTGGATCAATTTTTACCTCGTTTTTTAACGCTCGAATTCGTATATTTGATCCCATTTTATTTTTATTTCTAGTCGCCTGAAGTTTATTGTATTAATTACCCTGATGGAAAAATTACTACGTTTACGCGAGCGTTTACTTCTGTTACGATTATTCACTCGTTTACGCAGAGTAAATTATCGTAAGTTACTATTACGCGAAGGAATTATCATAAGTTACTACAGAAGTAATGCTCGCGTAAACGTAGTAAATGTCTCACATATTGTGAAAATTTTTTATAGGTATATTATTAGGATATTAATCAGAATTTCTATGAAAATTTCAAGTCTCAGATTTATTTTTATACGAATTCGAAACATTTTTCAGAAAAACTTAGACAAAATAATAATGAAATATTTTAGGTTTTCCCCGCCAATATATCTTTGTAGAAATCTAATAAATATATAATAAGAAAATCCCCACAATTTATATATATATATATATATATATATATATATATATATATATCAGAATTATGTTAATTCATACATACAGATACTGAAATATTCAGAAAATCCTCATGCAATTATTTTTGAAAGTATTTGAGAAAGACATATTTTTTCAGAATTTTTTATTTAAATCTAATAAAACATGAGAAATGTTTAGAAAATTTGTAGGAAAATATGAGAAATTTTTTCATCAAAGTAAGTTTCTCATCATAATTTTTGTATTTGTATTCTTCGACGTATGTTATATATAATGATAATATTCATTTTCAATTCCCGACAGTTAGATGTTATCTTTATATAATGTCCATTTCTACCAATGCAGATTAACTTTAATCTCGATTTAATTTACTTTTTATCTTTTCCTACTTCTAAGAATTAAAGACGAGATAAAAAGTAAGTCAAATCGAGATTAAAGTTAATCTGCATTACAAGAAAAATTTATGTATATTAATAAAATATTTTTATTTTGTACTGGTGTACCTCTGTAATTCTTTGTGACCACTAAAAAATACACATGTAAACTTTGTATTTAAATATCTTGTATTCCCTTGTTAAATTTAAATAAAACTTTTTAATCTTATAAAATTGTTATCATACATACTTTTCTAATTGACACAATGTAAAAATTTTTCAAAGTAGTGCAACAATTATTTTTTGAGGCAATATATATGTTCTCTCTGTAATTGGCGCTGTAATTTAAAGAGATATCATTTCTTTTTTGTAATTGTAATAGATCACTTGAAGCGCGACTCTTCTTTTTGATAAGGTAACATAATTTTGTGATGTGTACTTGGGTTATAATTTTTCGGAAATAAAGATACTACTGCTTAGATTTTTTCAAGATAATACTACTACTTTGTTTTTTTTTCGAGGTGAAGATACTACTGTTTAGGTTTTTTCGAGATTTTTCAAGATACAAAGATTTTGTCTACCACTTGTTACTTAGATTTTTTTAAGGTATAATACTACCACTGTTTTTTTTTCGAGGTAACAACATATACACTACTATGCGTGTACTTGGCGCCTTTCTTTACCTTTTTTTTAAAAAAGGTAATTTTGTACAGATATCACGCCTTTTTGTAGTATTACGCATTGTATAAACAATATGTACAGGGTGTTATTTCGAGGTATAATACTACCACTTTGTTTTTTTCAAGGTAACAACATAATACATATATACAACTATGCGTGTACTTGGCGCATTTTTTTACCTTTTTTTTGAAAAAGGTAATTTTGTACGGATATCACGCCTTTTTGTAGTGTCATATAAGACGTCGGCGTTAGAAGTAGATAGAAAAAGAAGTATCTTAATAAAAAATTTTCACATTTGGACTTTGCGTCGCAATATCTCCGCTCGTAGGGCACGGAGCGGGATATTATAAGAGAAACCCCCCCCCCCCCTAATTGGACCCCAAGCTATCGATCAAGCCTACTTAGAACTTGATCCGTTCACTCGTTATTGAGATCTCAACATCTCGGGTATTCGCAACCCGTCGCGTCGCGTAAAAAAGTCACGGTCGGTCTCGCTCCGCGTGTACTTGGCGCGAGACACTACCGTGTCTCTTGATTCTGCCGCTAGGGAATTTTTAAGTCGATTCTTATGAATCAAGCTTGAATTCGATGTCTAGGTGTCCCAGGTTGCTGATGACGAGGTTCACATAGTGCGCTTCATAGTTTTCGGTATTCAGATGTTAATACCTTGAATTCGATGTCCACGTGTTCCAGGTTGCTGATGTCGGGTTCCAGATAGTGCGCTCTATAGTTTTCGGTGTCCAGGTATAACAATACGTTGAATTCGATGTCTAGGTGTCCCACGTTTCCGATGACGAGGTCCACATAGTGCGCTCCGTAGTTTTTGGTGTCTACGTGTATTAATACCTCAAATTCGATATCTACGTGTCCTACATTCAGATTTAAAGTTATTAATACACCTAGACACCAAAAACTACAAAGCGCACGATGTGGACCTCGTCATCGGCAACCTGAAACACGTAGACATCAAATTCGAGGTATTATTACATCTAGACACCGAAAACTACGGAGCGCGCTATCTGGACCTCGTCATCAGCAACCTGAGACACCTAGACATCAATTTCAAAATATTAATACACGTAGACACCGACAACTACGGAGCGCACTATGTGGATCTCGTCATCGGCAACCTGGGACACCTAGACATCGAATTCAAGGTATTAATACACGTAGACACCGAAAACTACGGAGCTCACTATCTAGACATTGTCATCAGCAACCTGGGACACCTAGACATTGCATTCAACGTATTATTACACCTGGACACCAAAAAAACTACGAAGCGCACTATGTGGACCTCGTCATCGCCAACCTGGGACACCTAGACATCGAATTCAACGTACGATTACACCTGG